TTAATCGTGGGCATCAATTACAAAGAACTAACAATTCTTACTCTTGCCTGCCTACCACGACGCAACTAACTTACTTTGACAACGACTCAAACTCGACTCTGTAGATTTTCCTACTTACTTACTTATAAGACTTCTAACAAAGAGAGACGCGCACCCAAAATCCCACCCTGACAACCACCACCACGCCATGGAGTAATTTTGGACGCATACTCAATAATTTTCATAAATAAATAAAACAATTTCATAAATACAACATTTTACACTTTTTTTAAACCTAGGTGCCTTCTTCTCTCTTTAATTACCTAAGTTTCGCCGAACAGGTCCCTTAACATTATCGCCAAATAGTCGATTATGAGCCCATCTTAATTACAAATATTTACTCCAGCTAAAACGTCAATAATAAATCAATCGTGTAATTCACAATGATCGTCAAGATTTTTACGACCCATCGCTTTGTGGCGTAGCCAAACGGGCCAATCGCTATCCCCACCTTGGCCACTGATCTCAGTAGCTTCATCTCATATTTAGAGTAACATTTCCCCCTTAAAATTCCCAGAAAACTGCGCGATTCTTCAAAAATATTGGCAGCCTCGGGCAAGAGTGTCATAAATATCAAAAGCGCGATTGAACTTGTCGCCGGAGCTAACCAGTAAAGCAGCAGAGAATCCCTTTCTGACCGGATGGTCAAATAATTCGTAAAAATAAGGGTGCACATCCCAAAAAACACGAGTGGTGGGCAGATAAAGTAGCTAAAATCTTTGTTATAGTAACAATTCCAAATTTGAAATTCTTTATACACCTGCAAAACTCGGGTTTGGGAATTGGCCCAGGTTTCACTAACTTTCCTGCAACGAGCTATTAGTTCTGTGGATGTCGCCAAAACGATGAGCACGAATATGGCAAAGCCACAAATTGATGCCAGAATTTCTTCCACGATCCAGAACAAGGCGCTAATTCGGAGCAGAATTAGGATATACTTATGCCCCAGGGATTGGCTGAGAACATGGAGCGGATCAATATCCAGTAAGACGGCGATGGGACTAACACACGTAGGAATAAGGTGGGAAATTTGAATAAGTAATCGCAGCAAAAACTCCACTGTTTTATTGCGGTGGAACCGATGATGAATTTTGCCTAATCCTAGGGAGGATAAGGAGAGCATGTAAATTATATAATCTAATGTTTATCAATTGATCCTAACAATCCGATGGTGTGAAGTGTAACCCTCCGATATGGCTGAAATTTTAAATTACATATGTGGTCAATACAACTAACGTTTGTTTAGACAGTTTGTGCGATGATGGGAATTAGTCAAAATATTTTAGGTTAAACTAGAAAAATGGGTGATTTGGCCATTCCAAGGGACTGGGTTTTGCTTACTAGCTTGGTGAAAATCGCCAATTTTCAAAGTTTGACCTCAAATATTTTGACTAATTTTCACCATCGGACAAACTGCCTCAAGAAACGCTAGTTGTATTGACTTGGACCACATAATTTTAAAATTTCAGCCAAAAAATCGCAGGGTTACACTTCACACCATCGCATTTTACGTATATAGGACATATAGGATATTTTTCTTCAAAGTATCCATTCAACGGAAACATACATAAGCGTTATGTGACCCCTAATTTTTTGCTTGATTTTGGAAATAACTCGCTAGTCAATCCCAGTGTAGCTTGAAAAAAGGTTCCCTTGTAAGTGCTTACCTTTAACTCGGCTACGAAACTGATCAGCTGGGTTGAACAGCTGACAAGCCAGGCTCGCTCGGAACCCGAGGATCAAACTGCTCGGGATGATGGCCGGGAAAACCAGAGTGATGTAAAACATAGCCCAGATCCTAACTTTCTCTATGTGCGGACTTGCCGTTTCGTCAACCCGGTGGAAATATAGTTTTTCGAAAAGGAGAAGGAACGTCGTCAAGGTGTAAGAAATTACGAGAAGGGGCAACAATTTTACAAATTTTGGCTTCAGGCGGGAACACTTGTTCAAATATATTTGCCTTTTCTGCACCAAAATTCCGAAATGATGCAAGTGTCGGTTGGAAGAGGCGTATCGGGCCCAAATTTTCCATAACCCGGGTGAAATTAAATCGTTTTCGGATTTGGGGATGCAGCTAGATTTTAAAATATTTTGAAGAAAAGTGGAAACGCGAGACCATTTTTTGATTTTTATAAGTATTCTCTGCATGTTTGGAATTTTCATGGTTCGAATGGCGGATTGGCTTGGGAATATTATGTCTTAGAATTGAACATATTTATGTAAACGTATGTACATACATTCATATTTAGAAGGGCAATTTTGTAATGATATTAGCAGTTGTGTAACGTTCGAATACTTATTTTGGGACGAGTTGGTATACATATTTACATACGGATATGTAAGAGACAAGGAATTTATGTATGCACTTTGGAACATTTTGCATTTCGCCAGTTTTATTTAACTTGGAGAGAAGAGGTTTCGCCATAATTGATGAGAATATTGTAAGCAAACCGGATGTCAGAACTACATATGCATTCACAGACATATGTATGTTAGACATTCTAGCAAATGAGACTTTGACGTATTTATATAATGTCGAAGTAACTTTTCATAATAAATGTGTAGATACATACGTTCGATACGTATTACTGAATAGGTTAATGTAATATCGCAAATGTTTGGTTATATACATATATATTTTGCGGAATAGCTTCGCCCTCAGGGGCGGTTCATAAATTATGTAACGCAAAAATCGACCTTTCTCAGACCTCTCCCCCCTGTGTCACACTACTGTAATGCAAAACCAATACCCACCCCCCCTCCCCCTGTGCAACGGAACGCAAATCTCGTTTTTTTCCGAAAATGTAAAAGACAAAAATGAAAAAAATTGCAAAAAGGCATTTCTGTACGTTTGTTGCTAAACAAAATGCTGTAAATTTATATGTACAGTCAAAACAAAGATTTGTCAAATCAACACCGCCGGTGTCAATATATGATTTAACCGCCTTGGTTACAATTGTGATTCCACGTGGTAACGAAATTTTTCCGTCCGGTTGTAACATTATCACTACCGATATCCAAATCATCATAACTCGGATTCAACATTGTAACCAAGGCGGTTAAGCCACATATTGACACCGGCGGTGTTGATTTGACAATTTTTTTGTTTTGAGTGTATGAATTTGCTTAATCGAATTACTCAATTGAAGTGAAATTGCGCATACTTTGGATAAATTGCAATTGTAACTTTGTAGCAAGAAACTTCATGGGAAGGACTAAAATTAAGCATATTTTGTTGTGGACAATGGTAGTTCAATTTCCTATCAGATGCCTATAAGTATAAATCTTTCGCCCAATTTCAGAAACCTGACGGTCCAATTTTTATGAGATAACGAATGGTTTGCATTTTTATACGACACTGCGTAAGATTCGGAATTCTCAATTTTTGTATCAGTTCTAAATATTTACTTTCAAAACGTTACTTTTGCAAATTTTCTCGAATTAAGGTGAAAACACGTTTCCTGTGGAGTAAAAGTTTCCTGAAATTTTCAATCATTCTCAGGAAATTGTCAAATAATTACTGGAAATTTAGAATTTTTTTTTGAATTTTCGAGCAAATTTTCGAACAATTTTGAATTTGAATTTGAGTTACGTCACGCAAGACCCTGACCCCCCTCGTCACATCCTGTAACGCAACTCTGAAGACCTCTCCCCTTATCGCGTTACATAATTTATGAACGGCCCCTCACCCTCGCAAGGGCAGGCAGAGATGAGCCGTGTGCACGACTTTTTCGTGTTAACACGAACACGCACGACACGGCTGTGCATCGTGTCGTGCGTGCGCCGACGCGAGCCGTGTCGTGCTGTGCGTGTTACCCTCACGCAAACACTTCGTGCGTGCGTGCGTGCAAAAACAATAGCATCCTCGTGTCGTGCGTGTTCGCACTTTTAGCACTACACCCACGTTATGAAGTGGGACATTGGCTACTAGTGCCAGCGTTGCTAAATTCTTCGTATAATTGCATCTTTACACTCTGGAAATTGAAAATGTCGGTTAAATGACAATTACTCATGATAGTGTCAAACAATTCTTCGGTTATACTAGACATGATAGAGCTTAAATAAAAAATATGCCGAAATTTTCTGATCGTGCGTATCGTGGGTGCCGTGCGTGTTGTCCCATCGTGCGTGTTTTTTCGTTTTAAAAAAATTTCCGTGCGTGTTGGACATTTTTTTGGCAGACAAAGTCGTGTTTCGTGTCGTGCGTGATTTTTTTAAGACCCGTGTTCGTGTTCGTGCAGAACATGACACGAGTTTCGTGTTCGTGTCGTGCGTGTTTCAAAAAACCGTGACACGACTCATCTCTAATGGCAGGCATGAAAGTGACTACGTGCGTCAGGCGATCAGAAGACTATAATATATAAATAGGAACGAAAATGGCGTAAACAACTTAATTACGTTTGTATTGTGTACATACTATCCTCGCATTTAGGCGCGTCACCTCATTTGCATAAATCTCACTATGCCCATTGTCGGCGATACGGGCTTTTCATGTTGAAAACACTCTACGTCTCCCGCGACGGTGTCAAACTATGCAAATGAGATGACCGGCCCCGTAAGTGCACAACAAAAACAAGGAAAATTACCTAATTGCCATTCCAAAATAATATGCAGTTAATTATTTATGCAAGGTGATACTATAAACTTAAATATGAAAATTAACTGCGTATTACATATTTTGGAATTGCAGTTAGGTTATTTTCCTTCTTTTTATTGTGCACTTACTTACCTGGTTTTAGAATTAAACATTGACTGCACTTAGGTTGTGTTAGAACTAGCCCGACGATATGTAGGTATGCGTGCCGTATCTTTACAGGATTCAACAGAAGTTGATTACTCACACCAAACTTTGACAGCGATACATTCCCGGATCACTACTTACGCAACCGACCCGAAATCTGTTCCGGGTATTTCTTTCTCAGGCTCTGATGTACTTCTCCATTTAACTCCAGCTGCTCGTTGATCCACTTTTGTGCAAAAGAGAGACACACATTAGATACATATTTATTTGCCAAAATTTTCGTAAAGAAGAGAAAAAATGGACATCGAGCTCCGGTTTTTAGGTCGGGACCATAACTTTAAAACAAGCCGTCAATTCGTATACTGCGTTCTTCCGTACATCGAAGGTCAGCGGGTGAGTGGAATTATTTATTTGAAGGGACCATGCATAACTGTTGCGGTTAAATAATATTCTAATTATTTATGAGACCGATTTTTTTTCGAAAATCGATTCTGCGTTCTTAAAATAAAGATACAGTTTTGATGGGCAAATGAACCATGAACATTATAGAAATTAAACTTCACCAAATCCAGAGTATCATAAAGTTTACACAGTTTCTTTTACAACAGCTTACTTAATATGGTTAGAATTTGAAGTGCATTTACTGTTCAAAATGGTTAAGGCATTTTTAAGAGTGTGACCAATTTTGTTTAATTATTTGCGCAGTACACTTTCGGCCACTCGTATCAACCTTGTGGTTCCGGAGAAGAATTCCTTTACTTGTTAAGGATCCGATTATTCGGGAAGGAGAAAGAAGCGGCCCGATTTCAGATTTCCTGTCGGCGTGGTAAATTCTGGATTAAACGGTTGTCGGTTAGTTTCAGTTTTTTATTTTTGATAAATAAATATTTTTTTTATTTTTGAAAAGATTTTTGAAATAATTTTTTTGATTTTTGAAAAGATTTTTGAAATAATTTTTTTCATAAATCCGTAGTTATCTCAGTGCGCTGAACATTTTTAGAAATATGTTTGCGTTAACAAGCACATTGAATGTCGCCCAAACTATATTTTAAAATTGTGCGGGAATTATGACAACGAAAGACGAATTATTTGCATCAACTTTTAATGAGTGTACTCACCTCAACGTGATAAACTCGGGTGATTTTACCGCCACATGAAAAGTGCCTGGTATGCTATTCTCATTCCCAGCAGGCGGTGAAATTACCCATCATGGAATGCAGTTTAAAAAGTTGACACATGTATAATTCTTGAGTGAACTAATCTAAAAAGTTTCCAACAAAAATTCCAGAACGCCCAAAACTACGCAATATTCCTAAACGAGACGGAAGTTTGTGATACCACGGACGGAATGAAGCTATCGATCGGGGACATTTTGGTCGTCGCAGAACATAACACATTGAAATACTCGGTTTCCCAGCGATCCTGGTTGAACCCGAGGTGGAAATTGTTTTCAAAGGAAAACACGCAGAGGAAGAATCGGCCAGGAAATTTCCAGCACACGTGCGTCTTCACCTTCCAGGTTTGCATACATATGTAAATGTACAATTCATAACCCGTCTTAACCGGGTATTTATTTATTAGGGTTCGTTTCAATTTTATTTGAGTTTTGAGATATTCAAATTCCAAGAAAGATTTCTTAGGTCAAGTAATTTGTCGAATTTGTAAAGATCTGATGAAGGAATAAGCATTCTGAAGGCTAGTGTCACGTTTACGATAAATAATGTCCCAGGGCGCATCAACTTTTTATTGCAATTTTTCCATGACTTTGGCTGGTTACCATGGCAAAATTGCATGCAATTCCCGAACTTTTAATTTTTTAAATTTTTTGAAAACATGGTCTTCCCTGCACCACCCCCTTGGGAGAAACCACGGACAACAAAAAATTTATGCGCCCAGATAATGTCCTCAGAATCCATGAATTCTACTTCAAAATTTAAATTCCAATTTTTGACACTATGGACTAAACACTTTAATACGTTTAATGGGTCTAATTTATTTACTCCGGAATGTCTTGTAAAAAAAAATGCAAATTACTTTAAGCGGTTTTAGCTAATGCTATCCACGAAATGGAATTCTAAAATATTTTTTAGATTTCGATTCGCGACGAACGAGATTCGTGGTCTGATATGTGGAGCGCAGTATTTAGTTTGAGTAATTTTTTTTCCGCAAATGTTTTTTCAGGCGAGAAGAATTCCCACCACGTTCGACTCACCTGCGTATCACGCGTCCATGAAGTTCGAATACTTCCCGCGTGACGCAACCGAATCTTACAACGCCCTTGAAAACACATTGGTTAGTAAACCATTTTTGAAAAATATTTAAAAAAAATTCTATTTCATTTAATCCATAATTTTTGTGAAATTATGGATTAATATTTAGATACTCTCCAAAATATTTTCCCACTTGGGCCTCCCAACCTTAAAGAACTGCCGCCTCGTGTCCTCCCTTTGGGATAGTGAAGCCGTCCCCTGGCTAAAGTCCCGATCCGAAATTCGGTTCAAGTTTTACGCCTACCGTGAGCCCGCCAAGTCAACTCGGTTCTTTCTCTACAGACATGAAATGTTACCCTTCACCCATCCGAATTGGCACGTGGACCGTATCGATACCGGGGAAACGGTGACGTTTTGCAAATTAAGTGTCGATTTCGACATGGTGGTCGAAAATTGTGGGGTCATCCGTCGCCTGAGTTGTGTTTACTGTCCGACAATAAATAACTTGCTTTTGACAAGGTTGCTGAATCGATTGTCCAGTTCGTTGGAGGAATTGTCGATTTGTTTCGAAAATTGTGGAAATGCTGGGGATGATATTACCGAATTTTTTCCCTTTATAGAATTCCCGCTACTGAAAAGGTTTGAAATCGATATGGATCCCAACGTTTCGACGACGATAAGACCGTCAAAGTACGAAAATTTGACCCGTTCGCTGATCAAGTTGAGTAGCAAGGTGTCCGCGTTATATCTGAAGTCTTACAGTGCCCCAATGAACGCGCATTTTTTGCAGGAAATTGTGTCCGATAAGGGATCTTATCCCAGGCTGAGGGAGGTTCGGATTAAGAAGGTTAATTCGGAGGGGATAAAAGTCTTGCGGGGTTTTAGGACAGGTTTGGTGAGACTGGAGATTAATTGGTTTTCTGACGAGTGTGAGATTCGACAGGTGGAAGAGATCGTGCAAAGGCAGAGGGAGTCGTTGGAATTTCTACGTCTTGAAGTGCCCCCATATTGGGGACTGTTGGGGAGTATTCCTGTGGAGTTACCTTACTTGAAACGGAAAGATATTTTGTTCAGAAGGGTCTGAATAAGTCTCGCTTATAAATATGTGCATGATAAGTTGATTAAAATGCTGTATTGACGGAATGATTATCAATAAATTTAAAAATTTTCATTAAAAAGGCAAGGACATACATATGGTCGGGCTAATTCTAAAAGCACCTAAGTACAGTCTCATCTTAATTCTAAAACCACGTAGGTGCAGTCAATGTTTAATTCTAAAACCACCTAAATGCACAACAAAAACAAGGAAAATAACGTAACTGCAATTCCAAAATAATACGCCGTGATTTCTGCAAGATCATACAGTATGATCTTGCCTAATTCATACTATAAACTGAAGTATGAAGATTAACTGCATACATGTTATTTTTGAATTGCAATTAGGTTATTTTCCTTGTTTTTGTTGTGCACTTATGTGATTTTTGAATTAAACATTGACTGCACTTACGTGGTTTTAGAATTTCGAAGCGAGTTCACTTACGTGGTTTTAAATTTACTTCGACGATATATATTTGTGGCGTCTCAGCGGTTTAATCACGTGCTTAATTTATTACAATAAATTGCATACCAAGCAAAAAGCCAATTCCTTCAAAATATTTACTTGTTAGTTCAAGCTAACAAAGACTAGGTATTTTAAAGACACATAAATACATGTCGGCTAATTTTCTTGTTGCGCCGTAATCACATCATAATATTGGTAAGGCTAAGTTGCTAAATACTCATGAGTCCTTAACGACCTTAGCGATAAAAATTATGTAACTACCACCTAAAACGTCAATAATAAATCAATCGTGTAATTCACAATGTTCGACAAGATACAGAGGCTGAACGGGCGAAGAAAGACCACTTCCAAATTATTTTTTTTATTGGAAGAGAATTTTTTTCGAAACTCTTTTTTTCTTATCAGGTCGCCCTTATTGTTGTTAACCACTCTGGATCTTGATTTCAAATCCGGAAACACTTTTTAGCCCGTTTTAGGCCAATTGCCGCTCCACTCGCTTCGAGCTACTTTCCAGAGACCATCCAAAGTTGTTGCGCACCGTATGGAAAGTCGTTTTTTTAAATATCCAAAACCGAAAAAATCAAATGGTGACATATCAGGAGACTTGATATGAATGTTCTTATTGGAAATTATGGTGAGGGTCAATTGTTGATGAATAGTGGTTGCACAACCGACGACGTTCTTTGAACTCCGAAATAATGTTTTGACATCATGAATGACAATCTTGAAAATTTCACGAAGATCCAATTTGGCAAGATTAACTTCTAAAAATGGCTTTAGGACACTGTCAGGGCATACCTGTGAAATAATTTTTACATTTTGTGGCCCTGAATTTAAGGGGAGTGAATTTCTGCCACGCAGAACTCCAACCACTATTATTTTTTCCAATCACTTTTTCATGGGTTGGAACCCAAACTTTGAATTTTTTCAACGTCGTCCAGACAGCTAATTTGCTCTCACATTACCAAAAGTTAGGGCAAGGTCAAGACTCATCGGTAGTGACAATAGATTAATTTTTGTTTTTCTGAATGTGGCTTTCGAAAGCTTCCTAGAGTTGGCCCCACGATTCTGAGTATGACACGGGTTCAAGGCCTGTTCGACGAATCTGTTTCTTCGAATCGATATGAATGATGTTTCTGATAGTGTCTTGACTTGTTTCAATCTTCCTAGCAATCATCATCTGACGGTTAGGGATTTCTTCGTTAACTACTTTTTGACACCAAAAATTACGGTTTGGTCAATTTCAAATTGGAGTTTTGTCTGACGTATACTGGTATGAAATTTTTTTCGTCATGATGTTTTTCTACTACATCATGAAGTACCCTGTATATATATGCCTTGCTGACCTTCAATCAGTCTAGTTTTAGTCGGTTTGCAGTCCTTAATTTTGGGTAACCTCTCTGGAAAGCGTCTTCACGACCACTTCGGGTTCTGGGGTATGGTGCTCCTTTATTTTTCAAATTAAATTTCTAAAATAATTAGGATTACACACAGATCGGTTTGCCGACAATATATGCAAATTTCAACGAATTATTTCAATCCACGCAGATTTGAAAGCCAAATTTAAGTGGTCTTTCTTCGCCCGTCCAGCCTCTGTAGCTACCATCCACCTCTTACTAGCATAGCCAAACGGGCCAATAGCGATCCCCACCTTGGCCACTGATCGCAGTAACCTCAACTCATATTTCGAGTAACATTTCCCCCTTAAAAATCCCAGAAAACTGCGCGAATCTTTAAACACCTTTGCTGCCTCGGGCAGCAATGTCATCAATATCCAAAACCCAATTGCACTCGTCGCCGGAGCTAACCAGTAAAGCAGCAGAGAATCCCTTTTAGACCGGATGGTCAAATAATTCGTAAAAATCAGGGTGCACATCCAAAAAAACACGAGTGGTGGGCAGACAAAGTAGCTAAAATCTTTGTTATAGTAACAATTCCAAATTTGAAATTCTTTATACACCTCCAAAACTTGGGTTTGGGAATTGACCCAGGTTTCTGAAATTTTCTTACATCGACCAATTATTTCTGTCGATGTGGCCAAAACTATTAGAACGAATATAGCAAAGCCACAAATTGATGCCAGGATTTCTTCCACGATCCAGAATAAGGCTAATTAGGAGAAGAATTATTACATTGTTATATCCCTGCAAAATCTAGACTTTTCTGAGAACATGGAGCGGATCTATGTCCAGTAGGACGGCGATGGGACTCATAAATGTCGGAATTAGGTGGGAAATTCGAATAAACGATTGCAGCAAGGACTCCATGGTTTTACTGGAACGAAACTGATGGCGAATTTTGCCTAGTCCTGAAAATTTATACAATATGGACTGGTCGGTGAAGTTAAGTGTCAAGGTTCCCCCTATTGGTTCAACCAGTTAACAGTTAATTTTGCTTATGTAAAAAGCATAAAAATTGGCCAATTGGATAAGCTTTCTAGAACCGAAAACAGAATTTGATTATCTCTTTTCGTTAGAAAATGACAGCACAAAATTTAGAGGAAGTGGAAAAATTAGTTTGCCACTCGTGCGAAAAAGTGTTTTTCTCGGATCGGAAAAATGCTCCTGACCACTTCATTATTGAAGTCATGCCCCGGACAAAATTAGTCATACACTAAACATATCTAAGGATCGTAAAAAATCCAAATCTAAAATTTCTTCGGGTCAACCTGTCCCCCTGAAGACCAATCAACTGACGAGATACGTGAAAAAGTTTTTTGAAAAAACCCGATCACATCCATATGGGTTGCACCCAGACAACTGAAAATTTTGAAAACCTATCTTCGCAAGATCAAAGCCAATAAGATGGGCTTCAAAACTTACAACACTAAAACCGCGCCAAAATACAATGCTGATAAAAAAGCCGGGGCTAAAGCAAATTGTTGAAAACTTGTTGAGAAAATGTTTATATCGACTTCTTGATCTTTCTCGTCGTGAATGATGAAAACTACTGCCCTCTTGACCTCGAAGCGTCAATCATGCAGAGTTCTACTCATGTAGAAGTAAAACTGACTTTCGTTCGAAATATAATTTCAAAGCCAAGCAAAATTTCTAATGAAATACAAAAAATGGCTGGAAATTGACAAAAATTGGAGGGTCTTACAAAATGCGACCTACATGCTCTGATAGCTTCGGGAACAAGGAATTATTGAGATCAAAATTATTTTCATGCAGCGCAATGCCACAGGTCACATGGAATAATCCACTATGGGGGTAAAAAAAACAGCAAGTTTAACCGTTACCTAGGAAATTTCGGTTGTATGATAAAAATCTAGTCGTGTGTTTCGTGGATATCCTGTGGTCCATAGGGAAAGAAAAGGTGCACAAGGTTCAAAACCTTGAAGTGTGGAAGATATAATTCCCAAGGCAGACTTGCAGAATTGCGTTCCAAAATCAACTTTGGAAAAGCGAGCATAGGGTTAAGGTCAAAGAGTGGAGGACATTATTGAAGTGCATGGTGAAAGACCAAATTGTAATGTATCTCTGAAAAAAGATTGGCTTTGGTCACTCCAGTGCTTTTGAAACACACTCATTTGCTTTTTACAGTGAAAAAGGTCACCTGAATAAATCAACACCCTTTATTCAACAAGGTAACCTTTCAGTACCTCGTTCGAGAAAACACCTTATTCCTTTCCAGAGTTATCAATATTCCGAAAGCTGTTGGCTGTGTAAGAAACCTTGAAAAATTTCAGGTTTTTTCACCAAATATTTCGCGAATACGTAACTTTTAACCACGGAGCAGAAACAATGGTCCACGGATTCAGTGCTCACGTCGAGAACACGAGACCGCCTCGTCAGCGCAGAAATAATGCAGGGTGAAGGAATTTGGAAAACTAAAAATTGGTTTCTACTCAGAAATTAATTTGGGCCTGTCGCGAATTTTAAACGGTTTGCCAGTTAAAACTTCGTGTTTTAAAAATCATGGAACTTTACAAATTTCAGCTTCAAAAGTGATCCTTCCGATGTTTCATTAGAAGTACTTCGAGCAAGGATATGAGTTGAAAATTAAATTCTTCCTCTGAATTAAAATTTCAGTTTTTCCCAGTTTTCTACATTGATAAAAACTAGAAAACATGCTCCAAACTTTTAAAATGTCGTAGAATTTACATAAATATATCAAGGAACTTATTTTGGAGAAACATTTTTATGAGTTTGTGAATTTGCGATAAGATTATAATATTTATGTAATGGGTTTTAAAAAACCAAGGCCAGGGCTGAAAAACTGATTAGAGTTCGTTCATCACTTTCAATTTTAACACGCGAGAAGCATGAGCGCTAATTTAATGAGCGCATTACTTACTCACAACTATCAGGACAGCCACGTTAAATCGTTTTTCGTCGCTTACTACGGTATTATCCCTCTTGGAGGTCCACGTCATTCGATCTAGGAATCGAGCATCTTTGTTCCTCTTGGGCTGCACACGATTCATCTTGATTTTCCTATTTCTGAGGGCGGGGCAGGCTGAAATGACTTTACCTATTTTAGACGTTTAAAAGGGAAGCCGGAACTCCGCTTAAACCTGGCTAGTTGTTACACAGGGGTTGCGAGGCGACGGCGAATGATGAATTTTTGTGTTTGTGTCATTTTCGGTTGGCGTTCTCGCTTCCTTGTTCCACCGGAAGTGCTCGCCGTGACAATAAACGTTGTTACGGAGGGTTGGCCGACATTTTTGTGATTGCTCGTGTTTGAAATACTCCATCGTAATGCAAGCGCAGCTTTCACCCTGCCCCTTTGCAACAATTACTGTAAGTTACCACTCACCATGGGAAATGTGCAGAAGAAAGGATTTACTTTATATCAACTATTGACCAAAATATCACAAATATAGTGCTAATGTAATTTCTTACTCAAATGAATTTAATTCTAATCAAGTCCGCCGAAAACAATCGATTAATTATGGGGTGTCCTTGTTTTAGTGGCCACCTGAATTTAATGTTTTTGTGGATTCCCAAGTTGTTTCACTATGTACCAAGATGAAAATTTACGACAAGACTACTACGCACAGTAGTCTTAATGGGGAAATAATCAGCTAAATATTTTGACAGGCCTTTGAGAAATGTGAAAAAACCTAGGGTGTCCTTGTTTTACCGGTCGGAGTGTATGTATGCTTATCAATGTGTTGTGGTAAAGATAGTGATAAAGAATTACTAAAATTAATAAGAAAAATTACACCTGCGAGAACAAATTTCGGCACATTTGTAAATTAAAAACTTGTTAAAAACGCACATTAAAACCAAGAAGAATGGGGGAATATTCCAGGGTAGGCATTTGCATTGAGTGCCCACCCTGCTATTTTCTAGGGTGGGCATTTTCCACCCTGCCTACCCCGTGTCTGCGCCTATGAACACACTTCATAAGATACACCTTTCAGTAGGTCAAAGAAGTATACATATCACTGGGTCCCGAAATATTATCGACGACATGAATGTTATAGGAGATACTAATTTACTCCACGTTTTTCGTTTATCTAGCTTGCCCCTCATTGTATTTTGTCCGAGAGTATGTACAACAAATTTTCTCGCGTAACCCTTCAATGGAGTTTTCCGGAAGGGTTATTTTTCTCCCTCAGGCGAGCGAACTTCAACAGCATAGAAAATTGTAATCTATTGAAAATTGGAATTTACATTAAATTTCCTATAAAACGGATGTATTACATAACAAGAATCGAGTTACATAAAGCAGGAAACAATGGATTTGCGACATCACAGAAAAGGGTACGATTTAAATTTTTGCTTACTGTAAGTAAGTTGAGCTTCATTCATTTTTACGCATTGTTATTAGTTTTTATGAATTTTATGCAGTTTATGTATTTTTATGTATTTTTATGCGTTTTTACGCACCGTGCATGCATAATTATAATTTTGTGCGCACGTCAAGATAGATATGTGTTCTGTATGACCAAGTGCAGTTTTTACACATATGTATGTAAATTTAGCCGAACTGCACTCGACACGATAAATATTTAGCCACACTAAATACTTTCCCCGGATCACTCCGCACCGCAACCAACCCGGAATCTGTTCCGGGTATTTCTTATTTAGTAATAGATCATCTTTTACCTTCAGCTGATCATTAAACCGCACGTACCACTTTTGTGCAAAAACGAAAAATTTACTTATTTGCAAAATTTTCGCCGAGAATAACATAGAATGGACGTGGAACTGCGTTTCTTAGGTCGGGATAAGAAGTTAAGACCACGTGGACAATTCACGTACTGCGTCCTCCCGTACATCGAAGGTCAGCGGGTAAGAGGAATTCAATCTGTTTGTTAAATACTTATTTAAGGTACCCCTCATAAATATTGCGATCGTACATACCTGTTCAAAAAAATATTTCTTCATGCAATTTATAGACTGAATTAACTATTCATTAATTAAGTATTAATTCATTATTTAAGTACCTGGTGGCCATGTTGACTGGACGAAAAGTGAGAAATATCAAATTTTCGTACTTTTCATCCCGCCCACACGGTCACCAGGTCGTCGAAGGTCAAAAGAAATGTGGTTTATGAATTCTCCACTCTTAAAAATTCAACAAAAATTCAAACAAAAAATAATGCCCCGACTGGGACTCGAACCCAAAGATAATTTGTCCGCTTATTAATGAGCCACCACCAACATCACTTCCCTATAAGAACGTTCATATGCTGGACGGATATGATCAGTATACCAAGCACCTTGTCTTTGATGCTTTGAGTGACAGACAAAGATATGCCTCAACTGGAGCGATGGTGGCGCATATACCTATCTGTGTATTATTTAGTTGCTAGATGACAAGTCGTGGTGCTAGTGTGCAACACCTACCAGTGTATTATTAGTTGGTGAATGCGCATAGACGGCGCTCATAAGGGTGCTACTATCACTCGTCCATTTCGCCTTCTAGATATCCTATATAATAGTATAGTTCTGTGCAGTATATGTACATACCAAATAACTTTTTTTTAATAATTTGCACAGTACACTTTCGGCCATTCGTATGAGGATTGTCGTGACGGAGGAGAATTCTTCTTTTTGTTTAGGATTCGAGCATTTGGAGCGATGGTCACCTCTGCCCGATTTCAAATTTCATGTCGCCATGGACACTACTGGATTAAGCGGTTGTCGGTTAGCTACATAAAATTTAATACGCAGACGCATCTACCCAAACTTTTTAACAAGCAGAATACTAAATTCAGGATTCAGGTCTCCTTAATCTCAGAAACCGCATGATAATATTAAATTTTAAAAAAATTGAAAATGAATTTCTATATTTTCAAGGAAGTAATTCATTTGAGCACAAATTGTATTCAATTTTTGAAATCGGGCTAAAATTCGAAAGGTTAGAGCGTTTTTAAAAATCCGGATTTTGGCTGAATTTTTTTTTTGAAAATTCCGCCACGATCGTAAACATGCCCATTCAGGAAAACGAAAAAATACGGGTCCGCTTATTTCTGAAGGTAAACAATTTAAAATTATAGTCTAGTCCACATTGGGATTTGACAAAAAGTGAAGGCAATTTTAACGGTATTCAAAAATGTACTAAAACCTTGAAAACAAAAATTAATTTCAGAACGGCCAAGATTACGCAATATTCTTAAATAAGACCGAGGTTTGTGACACAACGGACGGAAAGAAGATCACACTTGGGGACATGTTGGTCCTTCGGGAAGACGGGACTTATCCACCTCCACCCTGGTGGAAAGTTTTAAAGTGGAAAGTGTTTTCAAACCAGGAGAGAAAGTATTCCCCAGAGAATTATCAGTACAAAAACGTTTTCAGGTTCCAGGTTTGTACAGACATACAGTTTTTAAAGGTTGTAACACACCTGTTCAAAAATCTAGTTTTCATTCAAAACTCAGTCATCCCGATTTCTGACTAAAGATTTTCATTCACATTCATTCAGTCATTTTCGTTCAAATGCATTCCATTTCACTTCATCGGAGTTCATTTCTTATTTCGCCCCACGTATTAAGTATTAGATGAAAAATGAAATGAGCGAGAAATCCTATCATTCACAGTGATAAATCTGAAATGACGGAACCCTTCAGTCGTTTCCGTTCAAATTAGATGAAATTCATTTTTATTCACTATCATTCACCATCATAGTAGCGCACATGAATGAAAGTGAACAGATTTGGGTTGCACCGATTCAATTTAATAAGTTTTAAGGTCAATTTTCGGCATAATTTTGTTGAGCCTCTTGAACGGTTCGATTTTGCCCTCTAAACGATTTTGCGTTACGGTAGTTGACTAAATTAAGTAAATTAAATTGCAAGTAATTTGATTGGTGTTGTCCACCAGAAAATACTTAAGCTATTTCTTTTGTTAATATATTACGTGGCAATTTAAGTTTAATCAGGAGGCGAAAAAAAATACGTGCGGGCAAAAGCGATAGTTAATTCATAGTATGAACTAACCAAACGATAGCTTTCCAGAGTATGAATTTCATACTCTGGAAAGCTATCATGAAAAAATTCTCAATCACTGAGACAATTCACGCAGTGTGACGTTGTCAAACGGATAAGTTCTCTACACTTATCATACACATTTTTCTTACAATGCAAGTCTTTTACGTGTACAACTCAGATCTGGTTGGGACCAATTTTATTTTGTTCACAAGAAAAAATAAGCATATCCGTATTTCTCCATTTTTACTAATGCGCTAATTTGAGCGCGCGGCACGAATTTTAAGCCATCTTCCTCCCAAAACCTCGATATTTAAAAATTCTGTAAATTTTCGAATTTTGACGGGAATCCAAAAATTAAAAAACATGTCTCGTCAGAATGACTTACTTGACTTATGAAAAATCCAGTTGCTGCGAAATTTGAATTTCAGAATTTTATGCCAGTTTTTGAAACTCTTATTATAAACTCTTACAAATTTTTAATTTTTCAAAAAACAGTGATTGCGAATTTTTTATACGTCAAGTAAGTCATTCTGACGAGACATGTTTGCGAATTTTTGGATTCCCGCCAAAATTCGAAAATTCACAGAATTCTTAAAAATCGAAATTTTGGCTGGAAACTGGTTTAAAATTCGCGCCGCGCGCTCAAATTAGCGCATTAGAAAAAATGAAACAATACGGGTATGCTTATTTTTTGTGGTGAACAAAATAAAATTAGTCCCAGTGAGATCTGAGCTTATCACGTAAAAGACTTGCATTGTTAGTGAGGCAAATACTTAACAATGACAAAATTACTAAATATTTTTTGAAAAAGTTTGCAAAATTAATTCACGAAGCGCACATACATAGTTCGCAAGTTATAAATGAGTGCGTGATTTGTCTCAATATTTCACCGAACTTTCTACTAGTCAGTATGTCACTCTCTATTTCAGGAGAGATGCGTAACTTTCACCATACCCGACCCGTCTAGGAATCACGTATTCCAAATGACCAAATATTTCCCACGCGATAAAACCGAATCCTACCCGGCACTCGAAAACATGTTGGTAAGTATTTTTAATTTCCCCCTAAAATCAAATTTAGTCCGAATTTTTTCGTGTAGAATTTTGAAAACATGAATTTAAATAGATCCTCTCCAAAATATTTTCCCACATGGGCCTCCTAACCTTGAAGATTTGCCGCCTCGTATCATCCCTCTGGGAGAGTGAAGCCGTCCCCTGGCTGAAATCTCGATCCCAAATTCGGTTCGGGTTTTACCCGTACAACGAACCCGCCCAGCACTCGGCGAGATTGTTTCTCTACAGACATGAAATGCTCCACCTCGCCCATCCCAATTGGCACGTGGACTGTTTCGTTGAAGAAACAAATGTGATGTTTGACAAATTTAGGGACGATTTGGACAAGGTTCTGGAAAATTGTCACCCAATCCGTCGCCTAAGTTGTGACTTCCGTCACATAAATAACGAGCTATTGATTAAGGTGCTGAATCGGGTGGCCGGTTCCTTAGAGGAATTGGAGGTTTGTTTCCACAGTTCTGACAATGCGCGGGAAGATATTACCGAATTTTTACAGTTGGTAGAATTCCCGCTCCTGAGAAGGCTCGAGATTGATATGAGTCCTAACGTTTCTTTAACGATTAAACCGATATGGTATGAAAAGTTGGCGGGTTCGCTGATAAGGTTGAGTGGCAAGGTGTCCACTCTGTACCTCAAGTCGTTCATTGCCCCGCTGAATACCCAGTTTTTGCGGGAAATTATGTCGAATAGGGAATACCCGAGGTTGAGGGAGGTTCGGATTGGAAAAATTGACTCGGACGGGATGGAAATTTTGCGGGGTTTGAGGGCGAATTTGGTTAGGCTGGAGATTAAATGGTTTTCCGACGAGTGTGAGATTCGGCAGGTGGAAGAGGTCGTGCAAAGGCAGAGGGAGTCGTTGGAGTTTCTGTATCTCGAAGTGCCCCCGGACTGGGGGGTGGTCCCTGTGGGGGAGATGCCTTACTTGAAAAGGAAAGACATTTTGTTTAGACAGCTTTAAGTTCGTTGTATTTAAGCATTTTAAAGTTTTAAATTCAAGTTTTTATTTATTCGCCCCTTAATTTATTAAATTTTTATCAAGATAATTGTTAATTGCAAGATCAAAATCTTAATTGCGTAGTTATGTTGATAAATTATTAGTTAATGCTGCACACTTTAAGGGGCCTGTAATTCTACGGAGCATACATAAGTGAGCCTTGTAAGAATCTTTCAAGCATAAATTATATATATTGAATTTTTGAATGAATAAAATTTATGCTAATTAATTAAATTAAACCTTAATCTTCTACGTTAACTGTTTATTTTTATTCGTTCATGAACCATAAGAGTGCCAGTCCTGGTCGCATCTTAACCCATCTCTCTAAATATTTAAGGAATATTTATGGAAAGGGCCACACTCTTAGAAATAGGGTTACGATTATAACCAAAAACTTAACGTACAAAACATAAATTTGTTAAATCAACACCGCCGGTGTCAATATGTATGTGACTTAACCGCCTTGGTTACAATTGTGATTCCGAGTGGTGATGACATTTTTCCGTCCGGTTATAACATTATCACTACAGGTATCAAAATCATCATAACTCGGATTCAACATTTTAACCAAGGCGGTTAAGTCACATACATATTGACACCGGCGGTGTTGATTTGACAAATTTTTGTTTTGAGTGTGTGATTCTACCGTCGTCGTTATGTATAAAGTTGTCATCGAGTGATTACAATTGTCACCGACTAATTATAAATTTTCACTGACTTCGTATTAAATTGCCACCAGAGCTAGGAAATTTATAACCAGTTCGTGACAAATTTGTAACCACGGCGGTAGAGCCATACATATATCTGTACGTTTGGTTTTTGGTAATAATCGTACCCCTACTTCTAAGAGTGCACATGTCTTTTGGTACAGAGCGTTATCTAAGGTAATACATATATTTTTTTCAAAAACCCTGTTTTTTAAAGCGTTTTTTCCCTTCAGCTCGGAAAATCATGTTCTTCAAGCGAACCCAGTCTAACCCGATTTGAATTTCAAGTATTTTTAAGTGTTCATATAGATACCTGTTCAAAAAAAACATTTTTTTCAAAAGCGAATCGTTCCGATGTCTGGTTAAAGATTTGCATTCAAATTTCGTCATTTTCTTCAAGTTCATTTCATTTCACTTCACTTTACTTCATCGGATTTCATTTCTTACTTCGTCCCACGTGTTAAGCACAGGGTGAAAAATTTGAAATGACAGAATTCTCAAGTCCTTTACATGCCAACGAGGGGAAATTCAGTTTCATTCACTATGTATCATACTCAGTCAAATGAATGAAAATGAACAGGTTTGTATGGCCAAGTGCAGTTTCTATACATACTTATGTAGATTTCGCAGAACTGCATTTAACACGTTAAATATTTAGGAATCTTGAACCACACTACTTTCCCCGGATCACTTCGCAACCAACCCGGAATCTGTTTCGGGTATTTTGCGAGCAACAACTCCAGCCGAGTATTAGCAAGTCAGTCTTCAACATGTGTAACAGTCCAGCTGCTTTTTAACACACACGACTTTTGTGCACGAAAACAAGTCAAAATATTTCTTTCGAAAATTTTCCTGTAACATTAAATGGACATGGAACTGAATTTTGTAGGTCACGGATATAAATTGAGGACAGGTTACGAACTCATATACTGCGTCCTCCCGTACATCGAAGACCAGCGGGTGAGAGGAGTTCAATAAATTACTTATTTACTTATAATTAAAAACTTTTAACTTTTTAAAAATGTGATTTTTCCAACTATGCAAAATTCAGAAATAGATAGCATGTGTAATATCAAATTTTTAAATTTGTAAAAATTACTTTTTATAATTTAATCGGAGCAAAATTGTGTTTAAGTTTTGAAATCGTGATAAACCTCGAAAAGTTACAGGGTTTTTATGAGTCCTAATTATGGCTGACTTTTTTTGTAAATTCAACAACCGGCTAAAACTTGCGCGTTTTGGAAAACCTAAAAAGACCCTGATTTCTGAGCTTGTCAAAATAACCCCTTTGCGCGTATCTTACATAATCATTTTTTGACATAATCGTTACCGTAATAAATTGTCTTTTGAGGGTAATTAAATTGTCCCCGGCGTCGATAGTATTTTTATTACGTAGGCGTTGACATTGGAGGCTGAGCAGGATTTAGCCTCTGTATTCATGATACCCTTCGGTGATAAATTATTACCCGAGCGGTTGAAATGCATAGTACCTTCGCCAGTAGCCATCTCATCAAATAGTTATTGAGTGTGTAATCATTGTTGGGGACTTATTAAAGGGACAATCTATGTATAAATAAATTTCGACAAGGAAATTCAAAATTTGAAGAATTGGAACAACCGATTTTCGAGTGTTCCCATTTATGCAATTTATACTTGTAGCCAGGGTAAGGAAAACCCCTGGGTTTTGCTATTGAAAACCCATACCCAGGGGTTTTACCTGGGATTTGCGGGTAGTCAGGGTAGTCGGGGTTATGGGGGAAACTGATCCAGTGTCTCATGTATTCAGTTGTAAAAATAATTTGCTTTTTCAGTAATTTTGCAGCAAAGCTGCTTATTAATTATATTGTACTGACTAATTAATTAGTAGAATTATTAGTAATGCCCAGGTATCATTGTTATTAAATTCGAATACCCCAACTACCCCGACTACCCGTGGGTATTGCTCAAATTTGCTACACAAAACCCACCAATACCCGCAATACCCCAATACCCCAAAAACCCGGGGTAGCATACCCTGCTTGTAACCTAACCTAATAATTAGTCTAATTATTTATGAAATGATGACCCCAAATCGATTCTAATTATTTTCACAGTACACTTTCGGACACTCGTACGAAGGTTGTGGGGATGATGAAGAGTTCCTACTTTTGTTAAGGATCCGATGGTTCGAGGAGGCGAAGTTCTCATCCGCCCGTTTCCAAATTTCCTGTCGCCATGGCAACTACTGGATTAAGCGGTTGTCGGTTTGTCACACTCTTAGAAATGGGGTTATGATTATAACCAAGAAGTAAACGCATGTGATTCTACCGCCGTGGTTATAAATTTGTCATCGAGCTGTGACAAATTCTCATCGATTATGTAATTATCAACTCTCACCGACTTGGTATTAAATTGTCACCTAAGCTAGAAAATCAATAATCAAATTAATAACCACAGCGGTTGAGTCATATGCGTTTACATTTTGGTAATAATCGTACACCGAATACAAAAAATTGTCAAATAGCACCGCCGGTGTGAATATATGACTTAACCGCCTTGGTTACAATTGTGATTCCGAGTGGTACTGAAATTTTTCCGTCCGGTTATAACATTATCACTACCGGTATGAAAATCATCATAACTCGGATTCAACATTGTAACCAAGGCGGTTAAGTCATATATTCACACCGGCGGTGTTGATTTGACAAATTTTTGTTTAGAGTGTAACCTTATTTCTAAGAGTGTATGTACGTGGAAATTTTAGGCTGCCAAAAATTACGCAATATTCGTAAATGGAACCGACGTCCGTGATACCACGGATGGAATGAAGATATCGCCCGGGGACATTTTCGTCCTTGCGGAAAACATCTTGCCGAAGATTACCCGCCATCGCGCTGGAGGAAACTAAAGTTGAAGGTTTTTTCAAAAATGAAGAAACGCCCAGACGATTTTCAGAACACGTTCGATTTCCGCTTCCAGGTTTGTGCACACCTTTTTCTAACTTTTACCAGATTGGGTGGAAATTTAAACTTTTTATCATACCTGTTCATCAGTGTTTCTGCTGTTAAATAACACCTGCACGAAATTAGTGCAGAAAAATGTTTTTAAACGTTTAATAACACCCATCAAAAATCCGGAAAAGTGCATGAAAATGCACTAAAATGCGCGAAATCATTTACGTGCAAATAACATTAGAATAATGGAATTTTTGGAAATATTCGATTAATTGAGAAGTCTTTGTGCTATTGTACAATATTTTCCTCCTCGTTTTAGTATTTTAGTGTAAAAGCATTTTTCATTTTGCAAGACATAGGTAAGCCCTGATTCCGGCTGGAAAGTGTGATAAACTTTCAAACTAGTTAGATAACTGAATCTTTCCCCCCATTTTCAGTGTTTCGGGTGAAAGTAACCACCTGCAAGAAATAACCGCAAGAAAATGGTTTCTTGCAGCTATTTTTACCCGCAAAAAATGCAAGAAACTCCTTCCTGCCCGCTGTAATTCTTAGGGCGCGTCGCTAGAGGGCGCTGTGTTTCTTGCATTTCTTGCAATATCTTGCACCTTACATTTCTTGCGTTTCTTGCTTTGCATTGCAAGACATTAAGCAAACCCGTAAGAAACGAAACACTGCCCATTTTATAGAGTAGCAGAATATGATTTCTTAAAAATATGAAATTCCCTGTATGAATTGCATTTCAGTTATTATTATGCATTATTACACATTTTCGTGCATTTTCGTGCGTTTTTATGCGTTTTTATGCATTTTTGTGCATTTTTATGCACCATGCATGCATAAAAATAATTTCGTGCGCACAAAAAGAAACACTGCTGTTCATGAACGTAGTTTTCCTTCAAAAGTCAGTCATTCCGATAGAAATATGTATGAGTGAAGATTTTATTCACATTCAGTCTTTTTCCTTCAAATTCATTTCTCTTCGTCTTATCTTACTTCACATTTTATTCATCATCTCAAATGATAGAATCCTGAGTTTGAGTCGTGTTCATTCAAACGATCGGCAATTCATTTTCATTCAATTTTCATCATAGTCAGTCAAATGAATGAAGGTGAACATGTATGGTTTTTCCTAGAAAACAAGTTCCCTGCTATGGAACCCTCAAATATTTTGACTCTACCCATACAACAGATTGATGAAATTAAATATGAACGTTCTGTTAAATTTCTCAATGCAAATTTCAGCCTCGAAGCGATCCCATCACGTCCGACCCGCCTGACAATTACGCATCAGACTCCGCCATCCTTGCCTATTTCCCACGTGACACAGCCGAATCTTATATCGCCCTGGAAAACACGTTGGTTAGTACTTTTTATAATTTTCCTCTAAAATCACTTAACTTTAATCAAGAAATTTTGTAAACTTGTCAAATTATATAGATACTCTCCAAAATATTTTCCCACTTGGGCCTCTCAACCTTAAAGATCTGCCGCCTCGTGTCATCCCTCTGGGAGAGTGAAGCCGTCCCCTGGCTCAAGTCTCGATCCGAAATTCGGTTCCAGTTTTACGCCTACCGCGAACCCGCAATGTCGATGAAGTTCTTCTTCTATACGAGTGAAATGCTGCCCTTTGCCCATCCGAATTGGCACATGGACCGTCTCAATACTGGCGATACGGCGACGTTGTCTAAATTAGGGGACGATTTGGACCGGATCCTTAAAAATTGTCACCCGATGATCCGGCGCCTAAGTTGTGTTTATTGTCACACCATAAATAACGCGCTCTTGGCCAAATTGCTGAATCGATTTGCCGCGTCTTTAGAGGAATTGTCGGTTTGGTTCGATGATTGTGAAAACGCGGAGGAAGATATTACCGAATTTTTCAACTTGATAGATTTCCCGCTCCTTAAAAGATTCGAGATCGATATGGGTTGCAGTGTTTTGTCGACGATTAATCCCGCATGGTATGTAAATTTGACCCGTTCCCTGATCAAATTGAGTAGCAGGGTATCCGCGCTGTACCTCAAGTCGAACAGCGCCCCGCTGAATACGTATTGTTTGCGGGAAATTTTTTCGAATAGAGAATACCCGAGGTTGAGGGAGGTTCGGATTAAAAAAATTGATTCGGATGGGATGGAAGTTTTGCGGGGTTTGAGGGCGGGTTTGGTTCGGCTGGAGATTAATGGGTTTTCCGATGAGTGTGAGATTCGACAGGTGGAAGAGGTCGTGCAGAGACAGAGAGAGTCGTTGGAGTTTCTGCGTCTCGAAGTGCCCCCGGACTGGGGGGTGGTTCCCGTGGGGGAAATGCCTTTGTTGAAAAGGAAAGAGATTTTCTTTAAACAATTTTAGGCAATAGGTTTAGGATTTATACTTTCAATACCCTTGTTTAAAGTGCAAATTTCTAAATACCCTTAATTAATTAAATTTTTAATTCCTGTATTTATCATTGCATGGACCATTAGCATTGTTAGAATTTTTATACGAAAGTAATTACTATTTTATTGCTATGTTACGTTTATTGATTACTATTGATTAATTACTGTTATTTGCATCACCCGAAGTATTTACATACATCGGGGGTAGTAGATGATCGGTAAGAATTGTAAGAAAACATAGCCTTGAAAGCGTTAAATGAGCCATCTCATCGGATATGAACATGATATGAGATGAGTTACGACTTTATGCATGTAAATAATCTGGTAATAAACATTACCGAAAAGCACAAGTATATGACTCTACCAAAGTGGTAATGATAAGTTGTACCGTGTGGTGATAAAGTTTCACCATCATGCCAACGAATTTTTACTACCTGGTAAAATATTATTACCAAATCTATTATCATTACCTGCGTGACTTTACCGGATTATTAAGAGTGTAAATACACACCTATTGAAAAAAATATTTTCATTTAAAATCCAGCCTTTCGGATTTCTGTCAGAAGATTTTTACTCACATTTAGTCATTTTCCTTCAAATTTATGTATTTAACTTCATTTCTTATGCTTTGATCACAGGGTGAAAAATCCCTTCATTCATACTCCTTCGTCTGAGATGACAGGATCATTCGGTCATTTTCATTCAAATGATTTATGAGGAAATCTACTCACATTCACGGTCATAATGCATCAAATGAATGAAAGGGAACAGGTACGTATGCGTGTGAACATATGCATTCTGCACACTCAAAACAAAAATTTGTCAAATCAACACCGCCGGTGTCAATATATGACTTAACCGCCTTGGTTACAATTCTGATTCCTAGTGGTAGTGAAATGTTTCCTTCTGGTTATAACATTATCACTACCGGTATCAAAATCGTCATAACTCTGAATCAAAATTTTAGCCAAGGCGGTTAAGTCATATATTGACCCCGGCGGTGTTGATTTGACAAATTTTTGTTTTGAGTGCATACATATATAACTCAACCAACAGGGTATTGCTAAGTACATAACACCGTTTAGTACTACCTCGGTGTTAGAGTTATACCATATCGGTAGTAAATTTCTACGGTGTGGTATAATTTCAATACCATAAAAACTTTAATATCGATGAATCAATACATACCTACCAGACCAGATTTCTAACAGTGTACATACTGATAGAATTTTGATATAAATCAATCGATCAGCTATTCACTAATAGAATAATAATTTGCACTCAACCAGTTTTTCATCCTTCTTGGGTGACATCACATTTGTATTTGTACCGGATTCCAACCGACGTTATTGGGTTGCTCTCTGATTTATGAAGTGCAACTTATTTCCTCAATATCAAACTTTCTGCTAGGAATGTTCCCCTTATTGAATTTGCAAACATTTACATAGTTTTCCCATGACGGAAAATTTCCGAAAATTTATGTAAGTACCACCAAAAAATGGAACTTTGACTTAATCAAATTCGTTACTTAGGTATGTTTGGATCATCTTACATATGTCCTCGTAATTTATTTTCGTCTGCCAACCTGCACAAATTCATGGATCCATTTGGAAATTAATTTCAAGCTGTATGGAGGCAAGTTGTACATATGTAATTAATGCTCAAAAAGTATTTAAAAATATCCACTGATTTGTCCACATTTATGAGCCTTTAAATTTGTCCGCATTTTTCCACGTGTAGATTTTCCAATCGCTTTGTCCACATTTTTGCGCGTGTAAACTTGACTAAAACTTTGACATTATTTCTTTATATAAACATTTGAACCCCGGCCGGGACTTTTGTCTTTGCAGGTCTCTTTAACATATTTTAGAGTCAATTTTGACACATTTTTGCACACATTTTTATAGGTATCTCCCATCTCACCTACTTTACCACTCCAATTCCAGCAAGTTCGGAATGGACACGTAGATTTCCTAAGTTTGCCAAATTTCCAATGTTTTTTAAGGACCCTGTCAAAATTATGTCACCCTTTTCAAAAGTAATCCACTCTTAATCCCACATATATTAAGGAACTCATTAAAAAAATCGACACACAACTGTACCCCTCATCAAATCCACGTTACTCTGGATTCAGTTGCTATGGAGAAATTAGCATTGTAGGAGATCGGAGCTGTCAAAATCGTTCATTCATCATCCGAATAAAAACCAGTTTTTCTCTTTTTTTCGCGTGACATCACAACACATTTATGTATGTACGGCATTCCAATCAACGTCATTTTCAATCACTTTTTTTCAACCGTCATTTGTCAAATGCTGAATACCTAAAGTCAAACTTTTCACTGGGGAAGATTCCTTCTTAAAAAGTGGTCAATTTATTCGAAATCTAAAATTCGCTTGTGAAATTTTCTCGAGAAATTAAATTACCACAAAATTGGAACATGACTTAATCCAATTTTATTACCTGCGATGGATCACCTACGTGTAGCTTTTTTCTTTGCAAGCTTCGCAATTACTCTCCCAAGCGGTACAAATTTACTCCTCCCGTTTGAAATTAGTTCCAACCCGGATAAAATCAAGTGCTACATAATTAGTGCTCAAAGCTAAGGTTTCAACTTGAGGACAAAAGTATTGGATTCACCCTGTTCAGTTCAATGTCGTTGTATGGTTTGTGGATTAAAATTAGACCGTTTTTGGTAAATGTTTTTTATAAAGGATTGCTCTACTTATTAAATTCAATCCATAGTACAACTTTTACAAGGACTATTGAACTTCATTTTTAGCACGTGTCTCCAAATGTGTGAATATTTGCAAAATGTAGCAAAGTAGCTTGGTCTTACTTCACCCTAAATACGACGGCGCGGGAATACTTATTGTCAGTGTTTCAAGCATAAATTCAATTTTAGTAAAGGCCTCCTTCACTCCCCAGACCAAAATTTAGTCCTGCGGGTGTCTTAATCCTCCGAATTGAGTTCATAGTTACATTTCCAATGATTTTTTGCAGTGGCCTTGAAGAAGTTAGGCACCTGGACACGGCATCCCTGAATGCGAGTCCCTACCGACCCGGAGAATTAACAGTTTTTCTTATTCACGGATTTCTAACACAAGTCAACGTAACTGGGAATAATGGCAAGATTTCGAAAATCTAATTTGATATGGTCTGTTCGGAAAAGATAGACCATAGACCAAAGACATATATCACGAAATTATATAGCTAGCAAATTCGAAATTTTCGCGGGAAGCCATCTAATGACCAAGTTTTTCCCGGGACGACTATCTTCCTCAAAAAGATCATAGTTATTTCAAGATTTTTGTATCAAAAATGCTCTAAACGTGATAATTTTTTTTCATTTCAGGAAATTTTGCCAACAACAAGATGACATCGTTCAACCCAAATATCTAGTATCTTTAGGAGCCCAGTTGGCGGGACGGGTTGGGAGGGACTTCCAGCTGGCGATGGGAGGCAGGAAGATACCCCGAATTTCGGATAAAAAATATTCATGGATTTGTACACAATTTTGTTTGAAAAAATTCCTCCATATTTTTGCCCACATAGATTTGTCCACATTTCTGTCAACATCTTTGTCCACAGACTTGTCCACATTTTAGCCCATCCACCATTATGCAAATATGTGCAAGTTGATCGACACAGTTGTCCACAGTTTTGTATGTGCAAATATGTATGTGCATAATTTAAACATTTCTCAACGTACATATTAGATTCTTGTGTAATTTTGAACACAACTTATGACAAGTTGAGCCAATATTTTCACAAAATTTGGCAGATTCTTATCCCAAGTTGAAACATAGTTTTGACGACAACTTTGACATATTTTTTAACTTGGTTGTTCCAGACATTTTTGTAAAAAGGGTATCTATAAACTTTTTAGTAGGTTTTTAGCCAATCTTGGCCATAATTTTGACAACAAAGTTGACGCGAATTTTGGCATAGACATCATCAAAATGTATAATCTTTGTCTTGGAAAGTTATGTATGTTTGCAGGGTTGGATCTGGCAGGTCCATTATTTTACCCATCCCTCCCAGAATGGATCATTGACAAAAGCGACGCCTACTTCGTCGACCTTTACCACTCCAATGCCGGCGAGTTCGGGACGGACAAGCTGGATGGACACGTGGATTTCATAAGTTGGTCCAATTTCCTGGAAAAAACTTCTTAACAAAGGAGCCAATGGCTTATCACCAATCTCGTCAAAATCAACATATTGCCAATCATTTCTTGCCTGTGGGAATTTATTTTTAAATTCTGAACGACGAATTTTCAGTCAGTAGACTAGAATGACAGTGTTTTTAAGCCAGTTTCGATGTATTCAAATTTTTCTGAAGGTATAATAAAAAAAACACCAATAAATTTTTCGTCCCGAATTTTTTAATAAATTTCCAGTTGCGAAAAATTATTAAAAATGTCTACATTTTGACGAGTTTGATGAGGAGTCTAAAATAACATGTCAAGCTAACTAAACTTTTTAAATCTAGTAAATAACGGCCATTCTCAACCCGGCTGTAATCCAGGATCGAATCTTTTATTCTGCAGTCATCAAACGGCTCAGTATTTATTCGCGGATTCAATTGATAACGCGTACGTGGCCTGTCAATGTTCCCAGAAGGAGCTGGACCCCGACAATTTCGAAATTTGTGTGCAACAATGTCCCAACCCTGTTTTTGCTGGGATATACACACCCCACACGTAAGAAATACATACATTATATACTCATTAGGTTAATTTTTTTGTTCGACACTCTTTAAAATCATGTTACCCATTTGCAAAATAAATTAACTCTGGATTTTATATTAAGTCAACTGCATGTACTAAGTCCAGAGTAACGTCAACGTGCTAAAAAGTAAAGTTTACTCTAGATTTGTTGTATAGTTTAGTTAAAACAGAATTCGAGTGAATCCACTTTTCGAAAGGATGACAATGACATGACTTGTAAGTGTGTACGGTTTGTTCAGAATTATGTAAGTATTTAGTAAAGATTAGCAAAATTTTACCGATTTATCTAGAAAACCTGTGCATTTATTTTCGTGAAAATTTTCTGGAATATTTTGAGCCATGATTCTCCAGAATTTAACACATCAATAGATTGAGCCTTTATACTGTATGAGCAAATTTTTCACAATCACGTAATTGTGCAACAGTGCACGTGGCGAGTACTACATCGATGTTCCGTATCCACTAAAGTCACCCCCGTTTTTATCAAATTACTTCTTCAATACGATTCCAGTTCTGGGGAAGTGAGACGACGTGAAACAACAAAAGTATCAAAATATCTATCATGCAATGGCTACATTTTATACAAAGTTAAAAAACCCCCGTTTGCTAAAAATATAATCTGATAAAACCGTGCAGTGTATGCAGTTTATTTCATTTATAGGACATTTTTCTTTCGTAATGTATGCATTTAATGCATATCCAGTATCTTATTTTATAATTTATTTAGTTCAAAAGTCTTAATTTACGTTTTAATTTTTAACCTAAAGTTAATATATATGTATGATTGTATTTTATTTTTTAAGTTAAAGCCGGGAGTAACCCATAACTAGTGAGAGTTCATTTTTTCATTTCTATGTATTGCTGTGGTTGTGAGCAAATGTATATTTATAACTTCTGGTTGGTAAAAATGTGCGAGTGAGGATAACAAGGAGTAAGGAATTGAGGAGACTCACTAATACTGTAGGATCCAGATTAAAGGGCCAATGGTCAACGTTTCGAACCTTCGTTCTTCCTCAGGACCGGAGGGATAATTTTGTGGTGACTGCTCACGGGAAGAACCAATGTGAGTGTGAGGATATGGGAATGGGAAGGATAGGAAGACTGCCAGACCACGTGGGCGTAGCAGTCTAGGCTCAGGTACCTCGGGGTCGCCCGGACACCCGTCAGCAATTAAAAACCGCCCTGAGGGTATATTGAACTCGCAAAGTTTACTTTAATAGAAAACTAAAGTTTACATTTAAACCAGGAGGTTTGTTGGCTTTGAAATGAAAGATAATTTTATTCTCAAGAGTCAGGCGAGCCTTCTCGTCTGACGGAGCCTTAATTAAAGCAGTGATCATAATATCATCATCACTGTGATTATGAACAAAATAATCTGAAACTGTGGTATGGGAATCATTGCGAATGGAAAGTAAATGTTCACGAAAACGATCGGCTAATTTGCGAAGAGTTTGGCCAATGTAAATGACATCAAGGCATCTCTTGCAAGTAATTGCGTAGATTAAACAAGAACTAGTACAAGTAGAAAAAGACTTAATTTCAAAATTTACTGTTTTAATATTTAAAGAGGAACGTTTAAGAACGTGAGTGCAGGTTTTGCAACGTGGCCGATTACAAGGAAAAGTGCCAAAATTAGTGAAATTAGTGAAATTGCTGATTGGGTCACGAATTGGTTGCAATTTGCAATTTGGTTGCAATTTAGACTGCTACGCCCACGTGGTCTGGCAGTCTTCCTATCCTTCCCATTCCCATATCCTCACACTCACATTGGTTCTTCCCGTGAGCAGTCACCACAAAATTATCCCTCCGGTCCTGAGGAAGAACGAAGGTTCGAAACGTTGACCATTGGCCCTTAAATCTGGATCCTACAGTATTAGTGAGTCTCCTCAATTCCTTACTCCTATATTTATAACTTCTATTTTCCATCAATTTAACTTACACGTGCACGCTAGTTACTCATGAATCAGCTCCCCATTCGAGTAAATGTTACTTCAGTCTCGTCGATCGTATTTTTGCTAATTTGTTTTACTGGGAAAATGCGTCTGCGGTACCAGGATCTGTTTAGAAATCAGCTTCCAATTCGATTTTTCACAATCTATTTACTCATTATCACCAAAAATGACATCATTTGTCTCACGCAGAATTCCTGCACTACCAGCGGTGTCAAAACTTCGACAAAATTGTTACCAAACATTAACCTCAGCGGGGCCAGGGATTTGTGCATTTTTCTCTCAAATTTACTTGTAGTCCTCCCTTTGCATGAATCGACCCACTTCTGGCTCGCCATGTTTACCTTGGCCGCAGATGAGAACGTCTGCAGGGTAAATGCCAAGTTTAAAAGGTACACAAGCAGGAACATGGCCATTATGGGAGAGTCGACCTGTTCAAAAAATAAATTGCTTCATTCAAAATTCGTTCAGTTGAAGAATTTGAAAAATTATTCATTCATTCGAAATTTAGAAATAAATATGTATTATTGATTTGCTATTCTTTTGATTCCGATTATTAAATACATGGATTTCACAATCAGACATATTGTGAAAAAACGAGTAAATAATGAATAAAATTATTCACTCATTGGTCATGAATATGAAATGAGAAAATCTTTATTCAAAATTCATCCATTCAAAAATTTTGTAAAAAAATATAACTCAAGGTTCATAAATTTATTGATTAATGAATAAATAATTTGTTCAGGCTCGATTGAATGAATGAATGTGAGCAAGAATGAATAAATAATAACCTGATTCGACCGGTACATCGTGATGACCGCGAAAGACAAGAAAATCTGCAACGATGGCGTGAGAAGTGCCGTCTTCAAGAAGATTCTATTTCGCGTGCAAGCATTCAAGACCTTTTCGAACATTTGGACTTTTCTGTACTCGATAAGAGTAGCAAGTCCTTGCTCCCATTTTCGGATAAATGTGACACATTCGATCCACAGAAAGGTGACGCCGGTTAGGAGCACGGTGACGATGTAGTACATTCCACCCAGGCCGACCTGCATGATTAATATTTTTTTAATTAGGTAACCAAGCTAATTAATTAGAATGTTGAGGTTGATTATTAATTAATAATTATTAATTATTAATTGATTATTAATAATTATTGATTATTAACTTGCGTTAGTGCCGGCGAAGCTAATTCTATACTAAATACTAATTAATGAAAAGATAAAAAAAGAAGTTGGTTGATGAGCAATTTAAGATTAGCCAAAAATTAGCCAACCAGTTTGTGAAAATTAGCAATTTTCTAATTAACTAGCCAAATAATTAATTTGGTTAGATAAAGATTTCATTGGATAATTACTAATTACCAATTAACTGGAAAATTTACAAAAGCGCCAAAAAGTTTGCAAATTACCGAATTATTAATTAGTTTAAATATCCACTTTAGTATAATTACTACTACTAACTACCAGTCTGGTTCAAGTGCCGGGGACTTGAAGTACCCGGCATTGTATTTTTGAATTGTATTTTTCCTTGAAAATAATTTTTGGGTTCCGATTCCCTGGACCCTTTTGAACTTGCCGCTCCTCAAATTTTTCAGATATTTGTGATTTTAGGAAAAACGCCACTATAAAAAGTTCTAATTTTTTTATCCAATGTTCTTCATTGGTGGGAGGTTAATTTGAGATAATAAATTTTTTTTTGAAAATTTATCCAATTTATGAAAAATGGAAGAAAAATCTTGGGTTCCGGGGAATCGTAACTTTTGTCTAATACGGTACCTGGGAATCGGCACCCGCTAAATCCTGCGACAAGTGGGTTCCGTTTCCCTGTAACTTGCATAACTAAAAAGTCCAGGGAATCGGAACTTTTGGGTTCCGTTTCCCAGGTACTAAGTTCCGATCCCCCGGCACTTGAACCAGACTGACTACTTACATAAAACGTGTTCCTGCCAATCACCACCCAGGTGAAAAATTTAAACGATGTTGTGCATAAATTTGGCTGGGTTTTATGCAGAGAATTGGCTGGATTTTATGCAGAAAAATTTATGCCGAAACTATTTGTGCACAAAATATACAGAATTATGCATAATTGTGCTAAACCTTTCTGCAGAATATACATGTCAGAAGTTTTATGCAGAATCGTTCATATTTTTCCTGCATAAACCATTGTGCCGGTCACTTGTGTAGAATTATGTCAAATTCGACATACGATTTTGACTCGGGCAATGACTTATTTATTGGAAACGTAACTAGGTAATTTAATTTAGGCACGACCTGCATGTAGACGACAAACTCCAGAATGGCGAAGAAGATTAGGATGCCCGTTTTCCATAATGGGGGGAATGCAAATACATGTCCTTCTGTACAGATAATTGAACTGAACAGCCCAGGTTGACAGGGTAAAAAGACGGACAGCAGGCCGTAGATCGACGCCATGGTGAAACATGCGAAGACCATATCGGCCAAAGCCAAAGCGTCCATAAAGAAGCGGAGGCAGATTAGAAACATCTTCTCCTTCGAAGTGTACGGCAGGTCTGGAGGACAAATTACAAATTAAATACTCATGCAAAAATGTAACCCAACACAAATATTCCAATCTAATAAGGAGTCCCGTTAGACAATTTGGAGTACATAAACCACACGAATTTCAGTCGCATACCAGATAAGAAACGGTAAAATCTATATTATAAGCTGGAAATGTCTGTCCGGGACGGAAGTGAAAGTGGAGAAAATTAGGTTTCGAATGGCGCGAAAATTCAAAATAAATTAAAAATTAAAAACCTATCGTACAGCTTTGCTTAGCCCGAACCAGGATTGATTAGTACCCATGTTTGTCAGAATGTTATACTACCAAATACAACAAGCAGTGGAGGCTGCTCGTATAAAAATTCCGAAATCGGTATGGGTAACCCTTAGTGCCCCTTCGGTTACTTTTTGTTCATCTTAGACTTCATATAATTTCATGAGAAGCTATTTAGTATCACCGTTCCGAATTTCCGAATTTTCCGAAGTTTTAAAAATCGGTATGGGTCACCCCATAGGGTCCTTCCACATGAAATTTTACCAATTTCACTTCATATTCTTCCATTGTGGCCCATTAGCAGCCTCTATACCAAATTTCAGCTCGATTGGATGATTTTGAAA